CATACATAAAAAGATGTGAGGCAACGATTCCTCGATAGTATAGTGGTTAGTATCCCCGCCTGTCACGCGGGAGACCGGGGTTCGATTCCCCGTCGGGGAGATCATTATTTTTTTTCCTTTTTCTTATTTTAAAATTATAAATTTTTACACCCACAGATATTTACTAAATAATCAAAATCAGAAACAAACAAAAATTTGTCTCAATGTTATCACGTATAGATATTATAAAATAATATAATATAATAATATAATATAATAATATAATATAAAATACCACCTCGATTTTTACGTCAATTAGAAAACGCGCGTATAATCATAAAAAAACAACAATTTGTCTGAAATTATTTCTATTTCTTCGACGCGAAATAGAGAAAGAACATTTCTCCACTTCATCCGATCCTTTAACGACGCCGTTTCCTCGCGCGGGCAAATAAAAAACAATACGCGTACCGAGAATAATCAACAACCGGCCGGTTCCACGTCGTAAAATTCGAAATTGGATCGCATGTCCCGCCGCGAAAATTCTCGCATCGAACGACAACTCTTCACGGAACAACCGTTCGTTAACAACCGTCTCCCACTCCCGGTGTCCACGTGTATCAACCCGGTAAATTACTATAATTACACGTTGCTCCTATTACAATCCACCGACAACGTATCTGCTTACGAGAGGAAGGCCCTCTTCCCTCCTCCTCCTCCTCCCCTCTTATAGGCCTCGTAGATAATAACGATCGTGTCGTAGAGGGAGCGGCCCCGAATGCGTGTCGAAGCCCCTCGTGAAGGAGGAAGAACATAATTAGCCCTTGTGTAATTGCACCCATAAGGATCCCTCTTCTCGAGAAAACGGAACCGAAGGAGTCGGCAACATCGTTTCTTCCTTCCTTCCTTCCTTCCTTCCTTTCTCCCTCCCTCTCTCCCTCTTTCCGTTTGTCCTTCTCCCTCGAGCGGATTCGTACCACGTACGTACCACGTCTCGATCGTGTTTACCCGTAATAAGGCCTTAATCGGGGCTAGATTTAGTGGCGCGCGGCCTTTTTTTTGAATTACACCCTCGTTGCACGCAACGATCGGCCCTCCCTCTCCTTCTCTTCCCTCGCGGTGTTCATTATCCACGCCCCTTTCGAAGAGGAGAGAGCGCGAGAAGCGAGGGACACCTCGTGAATCCGGCTTAATTTCGGCCGCCTCAGGCGATCATTTCGCCCAATAAATCTCGTTTACCGGCGAGAGAGTCTTGTTGGCAACAACACGGTCGCAATTTGCGGTATTTTCGGGGCTAACTGGCCGGGGCGGAATTGACTTTTTCGAGTGGCTCGCCACCGCCATTGGAAATTCACTTACACCCAAGATATCGGGACAGGGGATTCCATTCCTTCCGGATATTTTATGACACCGATCTTTTCGCGCCGTTTTTGCATTTATTTTTATTCGTCGTATTGTGAAAGAAGACCGGTATATATGGTATATATGGAGCTTAAGGTGAACGTGTTTTTGTAATTGTTTAAAAAAAAAAAAATGAATCAATCATTTGTGTACATGCGAATTACTTATTTCTATTTATTTTTGTTTAATATCTATAAATAAAATCTATAAATTTAATGGTCTATTTTCTACGTGTTTTCTAGATTTTTTTTTAAATGTTAGAGGATTCTTCGTGGTTATTCTTGGTTGAAATTCAATAATAAATTTATACTAATTTTACTCGAGAAATTATAAATCTTAACGTTCCCGAATGTGTAATTTTAACAATCCGTATTGGCCGATTCAACGTGCCATTCTACTGGCTTAATAGTTAGTTGCAGGAATACTATGGTGAACAAAGTTGGAGAATTGTTCCGCTTCATGAAACGTGGTCGCTTAATAGTTAGAGGCCGTCCCGTTGAAAGGTTATCATAGTGACCCAGTTGGCTCGAACAAACGAACGAACGAACCGTATTTAAAGATAAGGATCCGCATTTTATAGTTGAACGCTCGTAAATATAAAAAATGATGGATATTTTGATGCGTTGAATAGAATGCGTCATGTCGTAAGCAAAAGATTTCTAGTATCACTGATGTTAACATTAATGCCACAACCAGTAATAATTTATCTTGAATAAGAATTTTAAAAATTGAATTGGAACGATTCTCATTTGTTTCATCACCCGAATATCTCGCGTTACTTCTCTGCTACAAACCCGATAATTTCATCCCGCTTCGATATCGTAGCCAAGTAATTAACCATCGTTCGAAATAAAACACAATGTGTAAAATAATCTTCGTTCTAACGATATCGTTCAACAAACTTAAATTGCTCTCGAAATCTTTCCTTTCTCCATTAATATTTACCTTGTATACGGGCTCTGTAATTTTCGTGGTCGATCTTGCACAATTTTGCGCGAAACAAGAATAACCCGTTTCTTTATTGGCACTGTATATAGGATGTTCGAATGAAAAAGAAAAAAAAATTAAGGAATGATTCTTGAGGCTAAAATAAATTTAACAAGTAATATATAAAAATATTTATATAGATTTAATATAATATTTTATATAGATTATTCAAAATATATCGTATTATGCAAAACAAATGTTAAATTACATCCTTATATACTTTGTATCAATAACAAAATTGTATTCATACAGATATCACAAATAAAACTTTAATTTTTCATATGAAAAAATGCGAGAAGAAAGTAGAAATTTTGTTATCAAAATCTACTCAAAAAATAAAGGAGACAATGCCATTGAAATTCCTTTTTGTTTTATTGCGATATCTCAATTGGTTTCCGAGATATAAGGATTCAAAGTATCCATAGCGGTGGAGACATTATGAATGAGTCCGCGACTCCGTGACCTACATTTTTTCCTGGAAATGCGTACTACGTCCTTCTAGGACGTTTTTCTAGGAATCGTGTCTGTCGTTTGTCTGGGATTTGGGGTAGGTTAGTGAGATGAGGTGCGAGCGAGAGATCCGAGTAAGAGAGAAGGACAAGAATAATAAACGATTAAAAATTACTCTTTTCTTTGAACGACGATATCTCGGGAACCGGAAGTCGTATCGAGATAAATGAGAAAGCATTTTAAAGAGGAAGATCCTGCGCTTCTAACGATCTTTAATTCGTTGACCGGAAGTTAATATTTTCGGAGTTATGACTGTTCAAAATTTTCGTAATTTTAATAAGATTTAATCCAAGTTTAAGGCAAACGATTAAAAATTACGCTTTTCTTTAAACGACGATATCTCGGAAACCGGAAGTCGTATCGAGATGAATGAGGAAGCATTTTAAAGAGGAAGATCTTGCGCTTCTAATGATCGTTCATTCGTTGATAAGAAGTCATTATCGGAGTTATAGCGATTCAAAGTTTTTCTAATTTTTATATGCTCTTAATCGAGTTTTAAAATAATATTACGTGACAATCGCTCGTGTTCAAGAATATTTTAGACAATTTTTAATAATTAGAATTCCAGAATCAATCCTTAATTTCTCTTTCTATGTATTCCATTCGTTCCATACATTCTGGATGAATGAACATGAATGACGCTTAACGACACTGGCAACATTGTTCGCGACGAGGAATTCGAAGCAAGATCTTCGCTTCCCGCCATTATTTCTTGCTGTCTCTTCCGCTCTTTTCGCTCTCTCCCTTATCGCGGCCGTTTCACCTCGCCTATTACGGCGAACCAGTGTTATTGCCTTCTTATTAAGGAAATAATTGCGATGTTTTACGATCGCATTCCTGATCAATTATCCAAAGAAATGGAGCAAAACGAATAAGGATTCCCGCAAAAGTTGTTAACGAGCCTGGTTGATCGTCGCGCAAAATCGAGACCCACGGTACCCGATTTCCTGCTTGGTAGCAGGATTTTTGATACGACTTCTTGGTAAATGGATTACCTGGATGTTCAAGATTAATAGGATGTACGAGATTTCCTTTTGGAGTTCATTTCACTCGAGATTTATACTCGAGGTATTAAAAATTTAAAATTTCTTTGATTTCTTTCTTTCTTTATTTTTTTGACACAATTTTTTGAATTCGAAATCGAAAAATTGGAATCCCGTACATATAAATTCGTGATTGAAATTAAAGAAATGGAATGAAGTTTGACAAAATTTAAAAATTTTTCATTTCCAAATATAATACATCATATAAAAATCTGAAGATCTTTTTCTAATATTTCTTCTTTAACACGTGCTTACGTGTTTACAAAACATTTCCAATATACGAGCATTCTTCCAATAATCCATCTATTCCCCGAAATTCCGATGAAACGGCGTATCCTCTAATTATTTTAGAGACAGGAAAGATCCGCGATTGCCGCGACAAGAAAAAGAAGAGATTGGAGCAGGGGCCATTAGCGAAAGAAAGCGAGCGAAAAATTTGTCTCACGGTCGTGGCGCTAATTCCCGGTCGTGCATGCGTCTTAGAGCTTAAGTGGACGAGAGGGACGGCCAGGGAAAAGGTGAAGTGTTGCCACCCAAGTAGAAACTTCCATCGTTGATTGTTCCACGGTCTCTCGCCGGTAGTGTTGTATACCCTCGTGAAGATTGCACGACGATGCACCCGTGCCTCTTTCTCCTCGATCGACCAGGCCATATGCGAATCGAAACGAGCCGTGAAAGAAAGAGAAGAACTCGATCGTTAATTATCCCATTCCTGGTTGCCTGTTCTGAGCCCGCTGTTCGTTCACCGTCGACCGTGACAATGGCCAGGAGGCCTTGAAAGAAGACCCGTTGGCTTTTATCGACGTTTTAGAGAGTTTCGTGAGAATCGTATGGTTGAAAAGTCGCGGTAAATTCTTCTCTAAAGATTTTGAATTCGTTTCGAGTTTGGATATAGATGGACAATGGGATGAAACTTTCGATGAGTTACTCCATTTTTTTTTCTTTTTATTTTTTGGAAGCTCGGAATTCAAGACAAACAAGAAATAAACAGAAGATATTTCTTTCTTGATATATAATATCTTTTTGACAAGGAAGAAGTTATTATTATTATTATAACTAATATATTTGTTTCTTTTTCAGGTGAGTGATTACGATTTCAACTGCAGCAGTTAGCCAACAGTTTCCATCATTTGTAAGTAAATTATAGAACAATTAACTTAATCTCAGATTAGTGAATTTTTTCCAAATTTTCCAGAAAGTATTGTATCTATCTATTATTAAATTTTACATCGTTTCACTTCGTAAAACTTCGTATGTACATTTCTTAAGAGTTCAAAGGATCGTTGGGCAACAGATTGGCCAACCGTCTCGAAAGGAAAAGTTTGGCAACGTCGTGTAAGGTCGTGCGAGACACCTGCAACAGCTTAATACTTTATAGCGACCCCCTTTGGACTTACTCGTCGGCGATATTTTTTCGAGGGTGTGGGTCGAAGAGCGCCGAGGGCGAGGCGCGATAAAGGGTAGTTGTTCGAGTTCGTTAGAACGGCGAGAATAAAAGGAGAGCCGTGGCGAGATAGGAAGAAAACAGGGCAATTATTCGAGGTGGGACAGGAACATTTTTATTAAAGTTTCTTATCGGCCACCCGCGTGATGTATAACGTCACGCTCGAAGCGGTTCCCGCGCGAACACGATGGCCACTTCCTCGCGTGTTAGAAGAAACGTATCCGCGTTTTCGATCTTTTCGGTTATTTGTCATTTACTTTGTAGGGTTATTTAGGAAGATTTAAAAGTTTTTCGAAAGTTTTTTTTTTTTTTCACGATGTCTCGAGATGTTCGACGACTGGGTTCTATTTTCTATTAGATTTTCCTCGTTATAGAGAGAGATGCTAGGAGGGTGTAATTTTACGATGTTTACTCGAGAAGGGTTGCGATGATGGTTTTGTGTTACCTTTTATTATCCTTATTTGTTCCTCGTGTTGATTTTACATGTTACAATAGATGTAAGTTGATCTTCGTTCCTTTATTATTTCGTTATACTTCGATTCTTTATTTTTTTGAAAGATAGAGAAAGGTATTTTTCTAAACAAAGATAATAAAATATTAAGGGAAAAAGTCGCTTTGTACGGTATGATTTAAATTCTGATATCTTTTTTATGTTGTATATGCATATATGTAATTAATATCGAAAGTTATGTAGAATCTATAGTGTACAAATATTGTTTTTAGGTAAAAAAAATTTAGTGCAAAATTGATGAAAAGTTCGAGGAAAAATAACGGAGAAATCCGTTCACAGTATCATGCATGTTAGAAATTCCAAATATTTAATATATACATTTTCCGAATATTGATTAATTAAGTAAAATTGTGTAGATCACATTTTTATTGGATATATATCGTATTCTATAATTTGGTATATTAAAATTTTCGATATTATTAAATATATTAATATTTCGATATATATTAATTTTTATTTTAAATCGATAATAAATACATATTGCAAATACAAGTATTTAGATTTTGAAAATCGAATATAAAACAACTTCTATCGTAATGGCCCATTAGCTCAGTTGGTTAGAGCGTCGTGCTAATAACGCGAAGGTCGCGGGTTCGATCCCCCCATGGGCCAGATTTCTTTTTTTTTCCTTTCCATTTAACATAAAAGAATCATTAATCGTTATAATTACTCTTTTCAACGTAGTTACCTCCCCTCTTTTTTTTCTTGTTTTTCTATCGTTACGTGCGCGAAATACAAATTCGAAAAGTTCTTCCTATAGTAACGTTGCACGGAAACTTTGCGGTGAATACGTGCTCGTTGGCGAGGAGGTGCGAACCTGGGAAAGGAATTTGAGTTTTAGTCAAGTACAAAGAAACTTCCGGAACGACGTTCGTGTGTCTAATTGAGTAACTTTTCTTCGTTCGACGTTGCTTGTTTCGGGGTGAACTGAAATAGAAGTATTTTCGAGCGATCCTGAAAGAGGGAGACATCGTTTTCGTAATAGGAAAAAGTTTTTTCGTTTAACTGGACTAACGTTTCGTTTATTTACTTTGTGTGTTTTAGGTGTATATAGTTTCAATGATACCAAGTTTCCGCGAAGTTTCGTTTAATACCATAAACCCTACACCGTATTACATTCAATTCTTTTATCCGAAAATAATTATTTTTAATTAAAAAATAAATATAACGATATTGATTCATGAATTTTTAAATATTATATTGAAAAGAAGAAAGTGTTTGATATTAAAGTAAAAAGAAATTGAATACACGATTATATTTAATATCATTTTTATATTTAAACAAATTCAATTTAATCAAACAATATTCGTAAAATAATAAATAAAATCGAATGTAAATTTACAATGTAAAAAAATCACGAAAGAAAAAAAAAAGGAAATTCCGGTACCGGGAATCGAACCCGAGCCTCCTGGGTGAAAGCCAGGTATCCTAGCCACTAGACCATACCGGATTCACGGAATGTATGCTTTACGCTATACTCTTCATCTGCCGCTAACCATAAAATAAACCATTCTTTCATTTAATTTTATTCACTATTTCAACGCGAACAATATCAAAATCACATTCCTCTTGTTAAAACAAATACATCGATTTAAAAAGAAAACCAACAAATTTAATAAAAAAAAAAAAACTATCCATACACAGAATCGATTCTATTCTCTTTATTTCCACCAGTATTATACACCAACAATTTTACCAGTAACGCGTGTTTTTGTATCGGAAACGCCATAAATCCAGGGCAACGATTTAAAACGCGGCTGCCTCTGTCGTCGGATTTAAAAACAGTTTACGTTCCGGAAGCGTCGCGACGCTCGGTATCGGTCGTCGACAGGCCCGGTCATCCCCCTCTCCCCTCCCCTCCCTATTGGCCGATTGTTTCTGGCAACAAATAATTGATTTATTTATTTTTTCTTTTTGTCCACGGTCTCCTATTCCCTCCTCCCCTCTGTCTCCTCCTCCCCCTTTTTTCCAAACCATCGGAAACGTGGCGTGGCGTATCGACGTCGCGAGGAAAGGTCTGTCGGCCGGGCGGAAAGGACGCCGGACGTCGTTCCGCGAGAGATACGCGGGCGGAACAATTATCGGATATCCACGGTTGACAAATTGCACGGTCAACCGGCCACGTTTTAATGAAGCTCTATCGAGCAGTCTGCTCGCGTGTCGGATGGAAAATGAAAAACGAAACTACCCCCTCGTGCCCGATGAACTCTCTGAATTCTGGATCGATGAAACGGAAGGAGGGAGAGAGAGAGAGAGTGTGAGAGATTGCTCTTCGTTCTGGTCGATTCCAGCTTTACAATTGATCGTTGGAAATCGACATCGTCGTCGTTTCGTTGTAATTGATTCACTTGCGATTGATTTTTTCAAACAACGAGCGAATAATATCGATCGTAAAATGGAATTTGGGGAGACAAGAAAGGGAATCGATCAACGATTTTTGAAGATTTTTTCGATATAATTTCTTGGAAATTAACGTTCGCCTTGCTTAATTAATCTTATTTATTAAAGGCAACCGGGGTTGGTTAAAAAAAATCATCTTGAAATCTCGTGCCGAGATTCGTAAAGTCAGTAAATTTATATCCTCGTTTAGCTAAACGTATCTCGGGAAAATCGACCAACCATTTCACCGACTCGCATTCAATAGCGTCTCACGTACCACCAAAGCGAGCCGCGTCTTCCGTAATCATCCTTCTTAAATCACCGTGCCCCGTTCGTTGCATAGATCATCCGAAGCGGTCCACGTGAGCCAGTCTACCTGATCCATTTCCCAGCCGGATTTATTGCCCGGCCAATGTATCCGCCGAGTATTGGGTCATTAAAGACGCATATTCCCGGTGTTCTCGCGACCCGGGAACGATCGTTGGCAGCGTCGTTTCACCGCGGACGCCCGTGAGAAAATGTTTTTCTCATAGCCCGAGGGGGAGGGGGCCGATTTTATGGAAGCTGCCGGTGTGCACGACACTTGTCCCTGTCTCTCGTAAAACAATCATTTTTCCATCGGCGGGCCAAGTGTTCGCAATAGGTTTGGGATATTATTACGAAAGGGGAGGATTGTGTTATGAATTCGGACGGATTTCTGATTTATTTTCTTTTCTTTTCTTTTCTTTTCTTTTTTTTTTCTCGTTTCGTTTCGTGAATCGTAATCTAATATCTAATATCTAATCTTATTTGCTTGTTGAATAAATTAACGCGATTGGCATTGTGAATTTGCGTAATATATGTATTTGCGTGTATATATAATTGTTATATAATTGTTTTTCTATGATAATTGCTAACTAATTTGAATGTTAAACTGTTATGTTATTATACAAGAGTTATTTCAATAGAAAGAAACGTGATGATTTATTTATTAACTCGTATATGAATTTGCAAAGTTGTTTAGAGTGGAAACGTATAATAATTTCTTTTGATGTATGTGGATAAAAATTTTTTTTCTTTTTTTTTTTATATATAGAATCGAACAAAAATTGGGGAAAAGTAGACAGCATTTTAAATGCTCGAACGAATCTGTACACATTCAATGTTTTCCCCATTCTCTTTCTCCCTGTGTACTTATGCGAAGCTTGGCGCAGTTTATTTCGAAGACCCCATTCCATGCGTCAATTTTACACGTTTCTGTTTTCCACCCACGCTTTCCCGTGTCGTCTTTCTTCGTTTCCACGAGAAATATATAACTTTGCCACGGTAAAAAGCACTTCGTTCAATCGTCGAAGTGCACAGATTTCCGCGTGAGCTTTTCTTTGTGTCAGTTTTCCAAAATGTATCCCATTCAGATTTCTAAATATGAAAAATTAAAAAACTTAATACTCGATTTTCAGGCATTTAACAATTATTATTAATATTATTTAAAAATAGAACGATGATCGAGTGTAAATTTACCACTTTCTCGCGTAATAAAAAATAGATACTTCTTTTTAAGATATCCTTTTTCAGAAGAAAAAGAGAACAAATTCACTAGATCGATCACAGAATTATCTATCTACATTTAACATACAATAGTACAACATATATACAAGGTGTTAACATATTCAAATCGATATATCGATCGATAACCTCACTTCGATTCCTCTCTACAACTTACCAAATAACTCTCTAACCTTTTAAATCACCAGAATCAAATCTCTCCTCCACGAATATTTATATCGTGTGCGAAAAATTTACTAATAGCCCATACCTCATACAATTCGAAACGAATTCACCACGCAAGAAAACCACGAGCACGCAGGGATCATTGCCGCATAAACAGCGGCCGAGAAAGGTATAAAAACAGCTGGCAGTGATTAAAGGAGACGTTCCTCTCGCGAAATGCGAGCACGTGAGCACTGCGACAAAGTTTATTATTCCGTATCGGTGTAAGGAACGTAAAAAAAAAGAGAAAAAGAAAAAAACGAGGAAAAGAAACTAGTTCTCTTGGCCGTGCACTTACTTTATACGTATTCTTTTTGAGAACACGAAGAGAGAGAGAGAGTGCCTCGCCTCGCTCCTCGTCATATTCAATGTGCTCATGCGTCTCTCGTAAGGAGAGACACAGAGAGTTAAACAGAGAGATCTCTCTTTGTCGCGGAGAACCTCGCATGGTAACGAGTCTTTCGAAGATCTTCCGCATTAAAAGGCGAGTTTCTTGGCGGAAAGGAAGGAGAGAAGAGGAGAGAGAGGAGAAGCGAAGAAGTATGCGATGGAAGCGAGGGAGGGGGAGAGAAAAGGGGGAAAGAAGTACGCAGTTGCACGGCATATTTGCCTTGCATCAAAGAGCTGGAAGGCTCCATAATGGAATTGAGAGGAATTCGCCGGGCTTCCTGTTTACCGAGCTGATTTCTTGATTTTTATTGCCCCCACCCCTCCCCTCCCCTCCCCTCCCTCGATTGCGGGCTAGGGAATTTTAAACGGTCTTTGAGGACCTCGAGGACCGAAGGATGTGGAGTTTGGAGAATCGAATTGTAGGTTTCTTTCTTTTTTTTTTTTTTTTTTTTTTTCGTACTTTTCGAGAAATCTAGATAAAAATGATCGAACGGATCGTTCAAGTTGTTTTTAAATAATAAAGATTTATTACAAAACCGAAGAAATTCATCGATGATGACATTTTACTTTCAAATGGTTTTTCTAATTTGATTCAAGATTATGAATTCATACCGATGCAAATAATCTCTGTTTATTATATTTTCATAATATATAACCGTTGAAGGTTATTCGATTGTGATTCCAATTGGACGATTGATCGTGGATGGAAGGGGGATATAGAATAAATGAAGAATAAAACAGGGATCTTTTAACGAACTTCTTTTATCTCATTCCTTATGTCACACCGCGTCGGTATTAAACTTCTCTGTATATCCAAACTCGCGCGACGATTACATTTTGAAAAGCGGCGAAAGGGGGGAAAAAAAGAAGTGGTTGGAACGAGAATGGAGAAGCACGACGGAACTGAGAGCTCGGAGGAATCGAAATTTCGCGACAGGCAATTATTGGCGGCTTTGGGCCCGTTGCTGTCCATGCTGACAGTCGGCCTGACCCTCGGCTTCAACACCGTGCAATTGATCCAATTAACAAGCGACGTAACGACGAACGAGAGCAGGGGGGCAGAGGTACGGATAACGAGCGAAGGCGAGGCGCATCTGCTCTTCTCCGCCTCCAGCTTCCCGATGCTCCTCGGCTGTCTGTTGTCGGCGATCCTCGCGGAGACGGTGGGCAGGAGGAGGTCCTTGATGATAATCTACCCGGTGTCCTTGATCGGATGGGCGTCGATCGGACTCGCGAGTGATGTCTCATCGATCGCGATCGGGAGGGCGATCCACGGCCTGGGCGCCGGCCTCTTCACCCCTCTGGCGCCCGTCTACATCGGCGAGATATCGGATCCAAGGTCCAGGAGCGTGTTCCTCGCCCTGATAGACGCGGCGATAGTATTTGGACTTCTAATCGTCAACCACCTCCACGCCTATTTGCATTGGAGGATCATCGTTGGCGTCTGCTCGGCCGTCACGTGCCTCGTCTCCCTCGCGACCCTCGCTTCGCGGGAGAGCCCCGTCTGGCTGATGAACAGGAATCGAGCGGGGGACGCGTTGAGCCAATGGATCCACCTTCGAGGATGGGAATCGGGGATGGACGAGTATCGTGACGCGTCGAAACGCGTCTCGAACGCGCGGAGCGGGAACAGGTCAGGGTATCGCGCTCTGTCGTCCAAACGCTTCTTGTACCCGCTCCTCGTGTCGAACGCCTCGTTCTTCGTTTATCGATTCTCCGGATTAAACTTGGTCGCCGGTCACGCCGTTCCTCCCCTCGTGGAAACGTTCGAGATGGACGACTCTCACTCCGCCACTTTGATCATACTCGGGCTGAGATCGATCACGAGCTTGGTCGCTTGCCACCTGATAACGAAATACGAGTGGAAGACGTTGATCTTCAACTCTGGATCGGGCACAGTGTTTTCTCTGTTCGCGTTGTGGCTCACCGCCCACTTCGACTTACGCTCGTTATGGTTGAAGGATATCTCCTTGCTCGTATATTTCGTCTCGTTGGGGATAGGTCTGTCACCTATTCCGTGGATCCTCAGCGGAGAATTGTTCTCGGGCAAGTTGAGAAGTTTCGGGATCGGCCTCGTGCTGGCCCTCTCGTATCTCTGCTACATCGTGGACACGATCGTGACGCCGGAATTGGTGGCAAGGATCAAGGTGCAGGGAGTTTACGTAATTTACAGTCTGTTGGTGATAGTCGGGGTTGCACTCTTGGACCGCGTGTTACCCGAGCCAGGAGGAACGACGAGACTCTGCCGAGGATAGGAGAAATGTTCGAATTTTTCTGGGAATATTGGAACGATCTAGGAAAGAAACAAGTTTTATAATATGTAATTTTTTTTTTTATTTTACAATTTCATCATATAACGATCGATCTATAAATTTCCCCCTTTTTTGAATAATACATTGTAGTAATAGTTATTATTACTACATTGTTTGTTATCATTGTTTGAAAATATAGATATTTCATTAAATATATACGTATTGATAAATTGATGAGATTTGCTGCCGTAAAAATCGATTGACGTAATCGATGCTTAAACATTTAAAAAAATAGCATCGTTTATTAATGTGCATATTTAATGAACGATTTACATATATAAATATATATATACATATATCTTAACACGTTCGTCACGTTCATCAAATTGTATGATATAATTATACAAAGTTGAATTGATTATACAAAGTTGAATATAAACTAAAATTTCTTTTATACATTTCTATAAAAATTAATAAATCGATAGAATATTATAAAATTCGATAATGAATTCAATCGTTCAGGAATATTCGAAGATTCTTCAAAATTGAAAATTTTAGCGCCGCTATTACGATAGCGGAAAATTCGGTGTTATCAGTCGTGCGATTTATAATATATATAAGGACAATCTCGGGCCAATTTCCCATGCGAGACGTGCCCAAAATGCGTACAATCTTCATGAATGCATAATGCGTACACCACCCCTCCGATTCGAGAAAGTTTCTCGAATGGATGGTGAAACGAGAACTAATGTTTTCTTCTCCTCGTCTTTCTTTCCACGAATAATAACGGAATCTGTTTTTCTTCTAATTCCTGTAATATAAAATCCTAACCAATTAAATAATATATTCTATACACTGGAGTATTCAATATTCAACTCATTGATATTAATTGTACTTTATAAGATGTCGTTAATATGTTAACGAATTACTATAATTTTTTATATACACGTGTAATTTTTCCAAGTTGAATTTATACGTAAGAAAATTTATTTTTCCTCTATGATAAAAATTATCATATGGAATAAATCAATATTCAATTAACACGTATAATTCCGCGTCAAGATAAATATGTAATTTACGCACGTTTTATATCGTGTTATCCAATCTCAAAAAAATGTTTTAAAATGTAAAATATAAAAATTGTCGCATCGGCAACTTTATTAACTTTAACAACACGCTCTCTATCCGACTCGATATCAAGGATATTACTCGAAGAATTTTCCGTCAAAAATAATTTTCGTCTCTTCCGAGAATAACGAAGAGGGATTTAGAGGCTCGTGAAGGATTCGTTCTGGCATGGTGATGGCAGCTGCGATTTAAGGGCAAATTTGTCGGCGAAATGAAAATGTAACCTCATAACTCTTCCTCCTCCTGTGAGCATACCCAGTGGTATGCATAGTCCGACCGCATCCACCGGTTTTATACACTCCATAAACATTCCACCAGATTTTCTCGTAGTACCTCGATGTGATCATTCCGCCTCTGCTCAAACAGCCTGTTATCTGTCCGCGCTGCGTTGAAATCGCGTGTGTTTGTCCAATTTGTTAACCGAGGAGATAGATAAATGAACCGGTCATGCGAATTTCCAATATTTTACTCGACTTTGTTTCTTTTTTTCCTTTTTTTTTTTTTTTATCTCTTCACTGGCCACCCTTGTGTCCATAATTTTAAGGTTTAGATTATTTTATAATACGTTACGAGTTAAAAAAAATCTCTCTTATATAATTTTCGATATTAAATTATGTCGGATCGTTTCTAATTTTAAAAATTTTAAAAATTCTTCGATTCTAGAATTTTTATACATTTTGGAATTATACACAAATAAAAATGAAAATTGGAATTATATACGATGTAATTTAAATTAATTTCTTTAAATCGTTCTCTCCCAAGAAAATAATTTACAAGATCGAAATCGAATTCGATTATAGATAACCAGAGTGTAAATACTCGTTTCAAAATATTCGAGAGATAAATCGCGTGTTATTATTCAAGGTAACAACAAACGTTCGAACACACAAAAGAAATTTTAATCCCGACCAGGTGTTCGATTGTTATGTATTCTCGTTTCTGTCACGATTATATATTCGACGTAGAGACTTGACTGTCTCTAAACAAACATTTTCGAAAATTCATTTCATAAACGTGAAATTATCGTCGCGAAACCGAGGCTGCAAGTAAATTTGCTCGTTGTAAAATCGGGCAACCCTCTATTCTTCCTCTATCCCTCTTCGACGAACGTTTCATAGAACAGAATTTCATATGCATATGGGGTGAATGCATCTCTAACATTTCGTCTTTATTAAAATTCAAACTTTGTTTTTAATTGGACAATTAATTGAAAATCTTGCGGAGACGAGAAGGAAATTGGAAGAGCTTGATTAGAAAATTAATTCGCTTCGATCTAGAAAAGAAATATATTTACGAAATAATTAGAATCGATGAGTATTCGATTCAATTTTCGACGAATTCTTTTAAATTTCGACTTGACCTAAAACATCAAAGAAATAATTAGAGATAGAATTTCCTTTGAACATATATTACATCTCGAGCAATATTCACGTTTCTATCGTTCGATCTTACGCGCGCTGTTAAACAAATCCAAGAAGAAAGAGAAGAGAAGAAAAGAATAAAAGGAAGAATTCGCTAGAATTTCGTGGATCAGTTGTCCATTAGGAAATATATACGATCCAGAGGGTGGTGAAAAGGTTGATTAAATCTGAGCCCCTCGGTCCAGGGAGAAAAGTCCAAAGTCCTCTCTGATGAAATTGAAGAAACGATCCTCTCGTTGCGGCCGATCCTCCCGTTGCGAAATCAAGGAGAGAGGAAAGGAGATAAAGAAAGTGTCGTATCAAGAGGAGGAAAAGGATCTTTTATCTGGATCCGCACAGGCCGTCCTCGATGGAAAAAAAAATGTAATAGAATGGTAACAGTTCACACCCAAACTCGTCGAGAAGAAGGGATAAAGTTCGGGCTTACCTTCGAAACACGGTGGAACGTTATCCAGCATCGAGATAAGACTCTTTTCTCCTTCGCAGATTGAATTAAATCTTTCTTCGTTTCAGTCTGGATACGGTCTCTCTCTCTCTCTCTCTTCTTAATTTAATTCTCCATTCATTGTATGTTTTGTATAATTAACACGTGGTCGATGAAATTCTTAGATCTTCTCCTCGAATTTCCAATGAATATTTTTGAATATTGGCGCAATTAGATCCGTGTTCTTCTTAATTTTCCTCGATTGTACGTGTTTCTTTCTTGAGAATTTATTTAGAGAGAGCGCGAGTGTGAAATGTATTTGAGAGAAAGTTTTTAAAATTATACAATTTATGATATAATTGATACGATTTTATAATCGTAAACTTCTTATAAGACTTGTAAAATAATTTAAAAATAATAGAATTTGATTTATCATTTGTAAGAACTAAAAATTTTTTAATCATTTTGTAAAAAGTATACGAACGTTATTTCTTCCTATTTATTAAACCAGGCTCGTTAAATTTCATTTACAATTCTTGATCCTTCACCCACTACTTATCCTCCTTTCCACTAAATACTAAATAACACAAAAATCACAAATTCATTCATCAGTCCACCATATTTTTCCCTCCATGATTTCAAATATTTCGTTAAATCGAGCATTTTTCTCGATCCATATAAAGAACTTGTTTTCCCAAGTTAAATATAAAGCGAGGAAAAGGGATGGAAAAAGGGCGAAATGTAGCCAGGTTCCCAGGTTTCTCCTCGTGACGAGATCAATTCTATTTTGCGCGCTAACGAAAATGTCGTTCCCCGAGCATCAACTCCGTTTAAGCTCCCGGAAAGGTGATAAAATCAGTCGGATTTCCGGGGCTTTGTGTCTCGCGCCCTTCCTCCCCCGCTCTTCTTCGATTTTTCTCCCCCGTGGCGGCACCTTCCCTCCCTCCCCGCTTCGAGCCGCAATAATTCGCAATTTTCGCGCCACTCGTATCAAGTTTGGAAATAACGTTTCCCAAGTTTCCGTAAACTTGAAAACCCCACCCCCTCCTTCCTTCCCCGTTGGAACTGGCCTAACCCTTTTTCCAACCGTTCCAAACAATTTAAGACACTTTGAAGTGTAAGCTCCCCTTCCCAAGATTCGGTTTCCGTTCTTGTTTAAGTAGTTTGCGAGAACGTATAGCGATTCCCTTGGAGTAAATTAAAATTGTATATATAAAGTTTGCGAGAAATCTGACGTGTTTTTTTTTTTTTTCTTTTAGGAAAATTAAAATTTGAATACTTTGTTTGAATCATCTTGATCGATATTTTTTTTCAATTCTTGTCGAGAGAAACTAATTTCCAATTGTTAGAATACGCGTAAATGTTGGTAAGTATATTGGAATTTTTAAATCTTGAATAAAATTAAAAAGTAGAAATTGAAATTATATCTATACTCTTTACAGATTCCAAAATATTTATTTTATCAAATATATTTCGTACAAAATCTTACAACAGAAATAAATTTTGAAAAAAGGATTATATTCAGGCACAATTTTTTAATTTTTAAAAGTTGAAGTGATATTTTCATTATATATTTTTCATATTTATTTTAAATTCCTCTTTCGTTTCTTAATCAACAGGGAGATACATCGACAAAGGCTGGCTACCAACAGATGCACCCTTTGTTCGCGTTTCACCGATGAAAATGAAAGCCGAACGACAGTTCGACGCGTTTCCCGTGTTCGATTTCGAGGCATGCTTTTACCACGTTTCCGGCAATCTGGAACGGCGGGGAACGTCGTTTCCAGTTGCACGAAATTCGCCACGGCCATTTCATCGATCGATCTTCGAAGACTATCCTGTTTCGGCCGTCGCTCTTCTCTTCCGCTCGCGTGATCTCGCCCAATGAGGCGCCGCATTTTCTCGGTTCCCTTTTCGCACCGAGGATTTAAAGTTTCGTCGTCGCGGCTTAACTGAAATTGTTTCGTCCAATTTCGTGCACGACCTCGATTCATCGTTGTACGTATCAGAATTGGAACGTTCGTTGATCTTTGTAAAAAAGGTGATAATTTTTCTTTTTTCTTTTTTTCTAGTAAAGATACGCGGGATCGTGGAAATATTAATCGATAATGGAGCGAGTAAAAAAAGATGTATTCTACGTTAATACGTTCATCTAATCGCATTGGGAAGATTATGAAATCTAATAGTAATCGATCTAGATTATCAAGAGAATGATCGATTGGAATTGGAAGATATGTAAGAATTACTTGCATCGAAGGGAATGATTTTAATTCCGAAATAAAACCCTAAATATCCTAAAATTTCCATTTCGACATTTCACATCGATTCTAAATTTTCTCAACAAACAAACAAACTCTATTTTCCAAAATCGTCCATCAAACCTCAAAAAATGAATCCCCGCCATCCTTCGCCTTTCCTCCCCGCAAATAAACTTTATTTGCAACTTCATCGACAACCATCGACAACCTCCCCCCTCTTGGCACGAATCCATCTCAAAAGCGTCTTGGAAAAAAAAAATGGAAACATTTTCCCGACGAAAAGTAGTGAAATGTAACACTGCCGAAAATAAATCAAAGGGCCATGCATTGGGTTGGAAGGCAGAGAGAAATTTATCGACGAATATATATATATTCCATGGTGAGAACCGGTTGATCGCCAAGGCTTTTCGCGAGCTTCAAACCCTCTCCTGGAATCCTGGGCATAAACGGCCGTACGTGTTACGTACTGTTGCCGCCTTAAGGCGTTTTCTCGCCGTGTTTTACGACCGGTCGTGTGTCATTGCTACTGTCGACCGACCCTTCTCCAACCCGGAGATCACCGTGCTCACACTTAGAACACCTCTGTCTGCCTGCCCCTTCGCGATCGTCTGTCTCTGCCTCGACTTAACCACGGATTATCCGGAACGGTTGTGGATCGAATATTTGTATCGAATCGCGTGGAGATACGTGTGCTTCGATTAATCTGCCACTTTGCAGTAATTGCAAGAAGAATCGCAGATTTTTCTTTGGAGGAGGGATAGTATTTTTGTGTAAGCAAAATGGAAGAAGAATGGATCGGTCTTCTTTTCGCGGGGATGAAGGAATTTGCTTTTTTGGAATCCTTTAGGTGTGCTTTTAGTTGATTGAAATCTTTGTTTTTTTGGAAGGATGATACTAGGATCGAAGGATGTCACTTAGTTTTTCGGATATTTCTGCAAGATGGAATTTGATTTTTGGATATGCCAGAAAATGGATTGAAATCTTTCTAATACTTTCGTTCGATGTAGGATGAAGGATATTGTTTGGCTTGGAGATTTTCGATTGCGACGAGAAGATGGAATTGAAATTTGCCTAAAAAAAAAAAAAGAAGAAGGGAGAAACAAATATATTTTAATTCTATCCAATCTTCCTACCTTTCGATAAATTTTTCCCTGGAAAAAAAAAAGTAATTGATTTCTATCCAGTCCCAACTTATCCCAACTTAAATCCAATAATACTTAAATAAATATCGAAGTTTGAGTTTTGTATCGACGAGATCTAATTTACTCTGGGGGAGGAATCGATACCCTTCCACTCACGGCAACTAGAAAATAATCAAATAATAGAGAAATCCATCGAAAGTATCGACAATTACCGCATCCGGACGGAAGTTACGGAAGAAGAAAGGAAGACGTAATATTCGTCGTAGTTTCTTCGCAATCAAGTTGGTCGAAAGATAAAAACAAACAAGCCGCAAACGGCAAACCGAGACTTCGGCTCGCTTGGAGAATTTCGCAGTCGAGTACACGTGACAGGAAAACGCTTTCAGTCTCTTTCTCTCTTCAGCCGTTTTATTTCCTCTAATTGTGAAAAAGAGGCAGAAAAGTGGCTCCCTTTGAACCGCATCGAAATCTCTCTGTCGCCTCTCCGCAACTTGCATCGAGAGTTTCGTTCAAAAGAGGAAGAGTTTTTATTTTCGTTGAATTCGAACGGCATTAAAATGACGGTTTCACGTATTACTCTCGTACTTATGATTATTCGATTGTGAAATCAAATTCAATACTCGAGTTCGAAATTTCGATTGGAAATTAAATATGAATCGGAGAACTCGACGTTCGGAGGACGAATAAAAAAGAGATTTTTTTAAAAAAAGTTGATATAATAATTAAAACTCCGAGGGAACGCATCTCGTTGAAAAATATCACGCACATTTATCGAACGAACAATTTCGTGAGGAATAAAGGATTAATTCCAATTTCCAATTTTCTTGAGCCTTTCCCTGTGGTCGGCCCTGAAAACGTTTTATCGACCAGTTTCAATGAAACTTTTTCCAAGAGTTTTTCCAAGAGTGGAGGAAAAGGGGGAAAGTTTCTGGCCAGGCTCGTTGCGTGAATGTTTCAACGGGAAATTGATTACGACCGAGGCATTTTTAATTCAACAGGATGAAAGAATGAAAGGACGAAGTTCGCGATACGAGACTTCGCCAGTAATATTTTATTATTACGTGAACGAGGGAGGAAGGGACGGAAGGTTTTCATTAGGTTGCAAATTGCAACAAGCGTGATGAAGTATTTAGCTTATAAGAGGAAGTACTGTTTACCTTGTCGATGGGATAAGAAAACGTTGAATTAATCGTGAGTGAGGGTTGTGCAATTTAATAATTCAACTGGAAGTTTCATCTTATCGGTCTTTAATGATTAACAATCATCATCAGAAATAATAATTTGAAAATATTATGATTTATAATATTTTTATAAAATATTTTTTATAACATTTCCTTTGTATTTTGTTCGAAACAATAGCAGATATTTATCTCAAAATGTATATTTTAATATTCACATGGACATGGAAAGGATAATAGTTCGAGTCTGACTGGTAAAAATTTAATCTTCTCTCGTCGATAAATTATTTGAATTATTTTAATTTAATAAAATTTAAATTATTTTTACCAATGTATTTGAACGAATCTTAAAAATTACACAAATTACGGAAATATGTAAATTATAACCGAGCATTGAAATTAGCTACCTCTGTTCAAAAGTATATACATATTTAAATTACGAACGAGTCTCGAATTAATATTTCATCGCGAATAATCGTCAAGAAACGACGTTCGAATTTACCAAAGGTCTCTAAGAAAGTCTTTTTAACCTCGACGATCTAAGACCATGGTTTCCTCGAAATAATTTCCCCCGTCCATTAATTAATTAACCACAACAAGGAACCATTCCAAGAAGGCAGAAAAACACGTGTTGACACGTGTACGAGGAAAACATGTGTACGAGTTTTATCAACGATAAAAATGTATTAAGGAATCTTATATTCAAGACCAGACTCGTTGCCAAGAGAGATAAAGGGTCGCGGTACGTGCCTGATCTGCATCCCGTGAGGAATAACAACAGTCTCTCCCGTTTCGCCCAACTTCGCTTCTTCCCGCCGATCTCGACCGGGATAAAACGGTGATAATTCTCGTTCGTTTCTCGAACGATGATTCCCTTCGTTATTTCGTCGTCGAGCACCCTCTTCAGACCTCGAATCCCCCGCGAGACTCAAGGGGTTGGTAAGAAATGTAAATTTAACCGGGCCAATAATCGAAGTTGCGATTCCAAGCGTGGAGAAATTATAAATTGATTCGGGGATGGAAGGAAAGCAAGCAAGATTCTTACGTATTTCTCCGATATTGCATATTTATTATAGGTAAGTTTTTATTTATTAACCGAATGGATTTATTTTTTCCTCTGTCCCAATTTTTGCGTTATAATTAAAATAAGATTTTTCCAGGGACTTTAGAATACAAAGAAATATCCATAAGAATAATAAGAAATAGGGATTATTCTGAGCAAATGCATCGTGGATTTTTAAGAATAACTATAAATCGATTTAATCTTTTCATTTCCAAAATTTTGTATTTGAATTGGTAAGAAGAGAAAAAATTTAAAAAAAAGTTACGCGCGGAATAACGATGATTTCTATCGACTCCTCCACTTACCGGATTAATATGCGCATACATATGCGATCACGAAATTTACATATCCATGTAACATATGTGGAATCACTTATCCTAACACCTGTTCAACAAGATCGACGATCCCACGATATGTAATATATATATATATATATATATATATATTCTCTTCTTTCTTCGAATCATCGATCGCCAAGAATCAATGATCGTGCGAAACGTTGGAGGAATTCAGAGAGCGAGAAAAAGATTCGAAAGCATCCTTTCGAGATATCCTCAGGTCCAATTGGAAGCTCGATTACCCAGGGACTACTGCAATTGTACCTATACTTCCGGGGCCATTGATATTCAACTAGGAGCACGCCACGGTAATTTCCCCCTCCTGTCTCGAAGGTGGAGTAGTATCGTCCTCCCTCCCTCTCCCCAACCAGCCAGGATCTTGCTCTCGACCCATTCGATCGAAATTTCTACGCCAACTCGCCAACCGAAACCCATTCTTTTCGAGTCGTCTGCGCGGTTGAACGGTTGAATGGGAAAAAAAAGAAAAAAAATCGCAAGCCAATCGAGAGAAAAATAGGTCGATTTTAAATTGTGGACACCTTTAACCGATTCCTTTTCAATTTTTTTTTTTTTTTTTTTTTTAGTGGACAACGGAGAGATGGATTTAAAGAGTAATCCTTTTGCTGCGCTTTAAAAAAAAATTGTGTTCGGATTTTGAAGATATATAAGAAGGATATAGTTTGTAAAAGTATCTGTTAATATTTGTAATTTATTACCAATTAATAAAAATAAAGTGTTTTCGTCAATATTAAACGTTTATATTCATTCCAATGTATTTATATTGCACTTATCTATCACCGTTTCAAGCGCTGCAATTTACACGTCCATAATATATTTGAATAGATTCCACGGATCCACAATTCCAGGTCATCATCCCCCAACCATCGACCCCCACCCTCGTGCTACACCAGCAATAATCCACTCCACGCAATCCCATACTCTTCTCCAATATCACTCACTTCGATCATCGATCAATCAATCACCATCACCACCGCCAAATTCATTCGCATCCCTCGCCCGCTACCCCTTTCCCCCCAATTCCTCGATTACCTCGAATCGCCCCCGTATTTCCAAAGAATACTCCCTCGGTGCAGGAATTGCGAAAATTCGAAAAGAAAACCGAGCTTCGAAACGATGGGGGAGGGAAACGGGAGTGGACGGGGATGATTTGAAAGCAAGGAGCGCTCGTTAATTCGGAATTCGACCCCGCAGAATCGCGGAATTCGAATCTCGAAGGCGGCGCAAGCCGAGAATTAAACCGAGCATCGTCCGATTCGAATCTCGGACCCTCTCCTCCTCCTCCTCCTCCTCCTCCTCCTCTTTAGATCCTAGCCCGATAATTCTACTCGAGGAAGCACGTGGCTTGGCCGTGTTATAAAGTCTCGTCGCGTATAGTCTGTTTCACGAGAGCCGAATATCTCTTTGAAAATTAATTAATCTCTCTTCAAGTATATGTTCTTCAGGAATTTTACGAGTTTATAGAATTTATTAAAAACGACGTAGACTTCTTTAATTTCAAGATCTTGTATCTTGACGATTTTGAATTTCGTTCTTCCAATTCATCAAGAATTGAATGGAATATAAATTTCAAGTTGAAATACTAAACGTATTCGGGAAGGATCATTTAAAAATTTTCAACTTTTCGCTCGAAAAACCAAAGATAAAAAGTTTACTCGATCGATAAAAATTTCCTTTCGATAAAAAAAGGAAGGCTCCACCGCGATTCGCACAAAATCAACTTCGAGCCCAGAAACTCGAGATTCCAAGCATAATTGTACAAAATTTCGCACGTATTCCCGCCCGAACTCTTGTTGAACAGACTGTACAGGCGAGAGGAGGTCTCGTGGTCGCACGCGGCACGCATTCGTGCCGAGAATCGCAGGACGAGTCCTCATTTGGTAGTCGGTCGGCGTGCGGTCGAGGCTGTGCAACGGTACGCGAGAGTCCTCCGACTTTAATTCCCATCGCAGCCGCCCACAACATCGCCGGCTTGATGAACTTTTCGGATCGGCCACGATTTCGACAAGGCGGTTAGACAGCGATAAGGAGCGTGCGGCTAGGTGGATTGCGGCTTCGGGGACCGGGGATTAATTGGCCGAGGAATTGACCCAGGCGGCGGTTGGAAGTTGAAGGATTGGTTGTTTAGGTCTCGTGTAGGGTGTTTTTTTTTTTTTTATTGTGTTTTCAATCTGTTTCGAAGAATTTTGTATTATATGAAAATAAATGTATTCCTCTTTCATTTTAATACATCGATTCATAATTCATTTTAAATTCCATTTAACATGAAAATTTGAAAATTGTAAGTGAATCTAAAAATCATTTTAGCCAAGTAACTTGGTTTTCATAGATTCATTGGTAAAGTGTCAATCAATTATGTGTTATCTATGATTCACAGAAGTCGACGTGTTTAAAATAATGATTTTATCAATTATAATATTGTGAATTAAAATGTCATTATCTTCTAAATTTTTTAATTTTTCAATGATTTTAATCTATCTATTGATCAAACAAATGTACATTTATTTGTGGAGATATAAATTTTCAATTTAAAAGTCTATGATTACAAATAAAAAATATTTCGTTATGTTATGGATCACAGTGAAATAATTTGGCAAGAAAAATTTGTAGTACGAATCGATGCAAACCAATCAACAATCGAAATATGTTACAACAGCCACACACTATACACGAACGAAAGATAGCACGATCGTTCTAAAAATGCAACGCATTGGTCAGAATGGCTCGCCTAAAACGAGCCAACAAAAAAGTCACTGCAGGTATAGAACAATAAAATTAGCAATTGTAATCGATCGTGCAATCCCTCGAGGACAAAGAAGCATCCTCTATCGCGTAATTAGGGATTCGTGTCGATCGATGGGAAACCTTGTGTCGTGAGCATTGGTACAAGACGCGATCGTGAAAAAAAAAAAAGAAATGGAGACTGCTCGATTCGTTCCTCTTCCATTTCCAATGAAGCCATCCCCTCTGATAAAGGATGCGACACGTGAACCCGACAATCCATTTCCGCGTGCAAGGGCCTCGTTTTCAATCGCGAGTGTACAAGATACGCAGGCCAATCAGCGCGTCATAGGCAGAGTATGGACTCCTCTTCATGTAGGTTTCGATTTTTCAAAGGTGGATTGAAAGAAAAAGGATAAAAAGGTGGAGAATTCAGATTCTTGTACTGTAAAGTCCGTGAGGAATCGTGATAGGAATTTTCTATTCGAGTGAAAAGAATTCGATGGGACACGATTGTTTTTTAGATATATGTCCTTTATTTTTACTTTATTGCTTCTTTTGTAGCTAGTCTTTTCGTAAATATACGTTGATTAAATAAGCCATCGCTTTGACATGATCTTTCTAAATATAGTTTTCTTGGAGTGCATTAAAATATGTGGTTTTATATTAAAAAATAAAGTTAAGCTTCATAAGATTTCTACGCATTAATCTACAATAAAATTAATGTTAAAGTACGTAATTCTTGAAACTATTTAACTTTTATTTGAAACATTTTTTAATATTACAATAATCAAACGAAATATTAATGGATGTAAACTTAAGTAAGATACTTGCTATGTTTCTAAATTATTTAAATATAGAAAAATGGTTATTAAAGGAATACAATTGCTAAAAAAAAGCAACATTTACTACACAAGGTAAGTATTTACAAATAAGAAAATTATTAAAAAGATATAATAAGTATTTTTTAAATAAATATATAATATTTCATAAAAATCCGTTTTCGATAGTATAAGAAAATTTCTCACTTCATTCGGTTATATTCTCTTGATAAAAATTCAAAATTTTGGGCAAAAATCATTAAATTTAGATATACAAAAAAATTTTTTAAGCAATCTCCTGTCATATCATGTTCTCCTAATACAAAATCGAATTTTCAGTCAAAAATTTCTTTCGCTCGATGAATTTGAAATTTCCGAGAATCTAACGTCAGTTCCTAGAATTTTAAAAATTCTCAGAATTTGACATCATTTCCAAGAATTTTGGAGATTCCGAGAA